CAATGGCGAAAGTCCACTCTACTTTCGCTAATACATCCCATGGACATTGGCTCATTGACGAGAGTTCACCGCATTTTCACCAGTGTACCTCCTATAATTTTGCTGACTTGATTATTACTTTCGTGTTTTTCGTGCAAAACAATAGAAACAAAGAATAACCTTACTACATCGAACATATCAAACTCTCCATGAGGTTCATCATCAGATCGAAATAAAATTTTTCTTAATGTCTTTTTTTTTACATATTATTGTCGTTTTTTCTTATAAAAATCATAAATCTGCCATATTCGAACAAGTCGTGATTGGAGACAAAGAGATATACTCTGACACCTTAAGTCTTCACATGGGTTCCAGATGTATATTCATTCCTGAAAACTGACGAAAGTATAATGGACTTTTGCCAAACACCTCCTGGACATCCGTTAATTGGTGAATGTCCAGTTGACCAAAGTCTTATTGGTGAAATTCGAAAACCTATTCAAAGAAGACGATGTAAATTTTCTTTTCATCTTTTGGCTTGGTGAATGAACTAGACTCGATTTCTATTTGCTGCGCCCAGTTTTTCTCGGCTCTTTATGGCACACGCATGCGACCAATGAGACCTTCCTGAGCTTGAAACAGATACACGCAAGCGGATCACACTGAACTAATAGGGCAATCAACGTAGGTATGCCGTACAATAATGATGACAGATATCTACGAACCCATTAGACCTTTCCGAGTACTATATTGCTTTCATTATAGCAGGTCCAAGGAATCTCTCCAAGTTAGGTTACATAGCCACCTGACAGACTGTGATAAAAAAAGACAACCTTTTTGATAAGTATATAGCTTCACAAACAAAATAAATTAATATAAAAAATCATTTTTTCTATACTGTATATATTACGGCACATGTGTATATATTTAAAAACAAGAAAATCATTATATCTTGATTAAAATATGTCTACTTTATCGAAAAATCATTCGCAAAAGTCCTGTTGGCTACTAGAACTTCAATAGTTTTTATCTTCATCTTCATGATTTGAGAGAAATATAGCTTAGTTTCTGCTTATTTTTCTTTCTCAAGTCTCTCTCAAAAAAAAAGCACAAAAAAAAGAATGAAGCAACATATCTGTTTTTATAGTGTTTCAAGTAATAAAATTAATTTATTTTAATTTTAAATATTGTAATGTTGTCATATTTTAACATTAATATAATTTAATTCTTGTAAATTTTTCTTAAAAAATATTTATGTAATATAATTGTTCATTCACGAATCATTCGAAACAATATCATCAAAGTTGATAGTTCGATTTTCACAGCGTCGTTAGTACTACATACTGCGTGATAAAACGAAAAAATAGAATTAATTTCTAGGACAATCTATTGAACAAATTTTTGTTTTCTGGTGATGCTTTGTCGAAATATGAGTGTCGATTTAAGAATGTTAGTGAAAAGAAGAGAAGATCCACATCTACATACTCAGATATATTCTAGTGAATCAAAATACATCAATGACGAAGATTAAGCTTTTCTTGTCATTAGAATATAGTCATTCGTATAATTTGCAACGTACATGTTTATGTGTCACTATTATTGATAATGCAAAATGACAAACATTTACTTATAGATTTTGTTAATAATATCAAATGATAAAATTGTTTTCGTTTAGAAGAGTCGTTAGCTTAATGGAATCATTCTCGAAGTTCATTCTATTATGTTAAGAAAATTTTTTCAGATCAACATGACTTGTTTAGAATGGAAGAATGTATAAAAATTATTCTTTTTCTTATTATGAAAGATCTGATCACGTATTCATTAAGGAATGTTTAAATCATTTTTCGCATCATTTCATTTGAGATATATATATATATATACAGTTGATTACTAATAACAGCTAAGATTTCATGAATATTTATCTATCCTTTTGTTAGTCCTTGTTTGTACAATATTTGTATAAAAGGGACTAATAATACTGATAAAATTTTGAAAAGAAAAGATTCTTTACGTTTATTTTCACACTAGTAAGTCTAAAGTATTGAAATATAATGATTGTTGAATGAAGAAAAAAATGTTCAGAAAAACCTTGGTACAATATCATTGACTTTTATCAATATCAGTGTATCATCAACGACTGTAATAATTGTTTACATATATATCATTGAAAAAAATCCCATTTTTATCTCAATAACAAACAATAAAATACGTTAAGTACTACAAAAGCGAGCAATAAATAGAAACCAATGAACAAGCTAATTAAATTGTACTTTTTCTATGATATAATTTATTTTATAATATTTCCTCAGCGATTCACTCAATCGAAATAACCTCTTGTATTTAGTCAACAGCTGAGATAAATTTAAAAAAATTAACAATTCATTTCATCTAAAACGGTTTTGTAAAATGTTACAAATATTCATCGAAGACAATTGCCTGCTTTTTAAAGAAATCCTTAATTAATTCCTTATATTTATTTACTAGAAAATGAAGAAGAAACTTTATTTATTACGTTTCATTTTCTTTTCCTATATCTATTTTAATTTAAATATGGTTCATTTCAAACAAAACTCTTGTCAAAGATATTCATGAGAAAATTAATAAGTAAAATTAAAAAAAAAACATAGCATAGTTTGTTTTATTATTTTCAAATTTAAATCTATAACAAATACGTATCTGTCACAGATGGGTAGCAGAAATTAAGAATGGATGGAAAAAGACAGAAAGGAAAAATGTCGAAAAGAAAAATAGAATTGAAAAGATATTAATTGTAAGAGATCGTTCGAATGCAACAATTGAAAAGCCCTCTTTACGATGTGAGTGTGGTCGTCAATGTAGAGTTTTGGGTTCGGGTTTACATTCATATGTGCATGTGGTGGTAGACGGAGACAAGGCTCAATCACATCGGTTGGATTTTCTTATGTTGCTGATAAAAATATTGCAAAAAAATATGGTGAATCAGGACGTGAGCAAGGTTAGCAGTGGATTGGAGTTTTTACTGCTGATATGCGTACCTATACTTGGTTTGAGTTTCGAATTACTTGGGTTCTATGCAGAATTCGATTCTCTACGGAACGTTGACATTTTCGGAAGCGGGTATCGAGCAGAAACTAGGAGTTTTAGTCGAGAATATAGGAATGTGGGTTTGGTTATAGGTATAGAGAATAACACCACATCAACACCTTTACGAATTTCTCTATTCTTTTTCTTTATTGAATGTATTATTTTTGATGCTATAGGTGATTATAATGAAAACTTACTCTTTCAATTCGACATTTTTCTTTTCATTCTTTTTCCGTCATACCGACATTACACATATACTAAATCTACTTGTTATGTTGCCTAGATCGTTGTTTTCTCTGGTGCATTTGTAAGCTATCCGTAATAAATAGTAGGAAATATAAATGAATCTATTGTAATCTCCAATGTTACTTATTCATTTTGATTTTGTTTTGACAATGTCAGTTAATATTGAAAATGGCTTATAAGATATATTACGTGTACTGTGGTCAAAATCGCTTGTTCGCATAGTTCGACACATATTGTCAGGTCGAAATAAAGTTAATCATCAGTCGAAATTGTGCTATTCATGAAGAAAATGGTTTCATAATCAAGGTATTTTTTTAAATGCAATTCAGATCAATTTGTAATCATCACAACGTAGTTAGAACTTTCACTCAATTGTATTCGAATAAAACAGAATTTTACATTAGAATTTTATGTGTAACGATCTATATGGTTTTCAAAGATTTACGACCTATTATTTACAATATGGAGATGAACAAGGTCAGAACAGAAGCTATAATAAAATTTTCACTAAGTGTGTAAACTTCAAAAGTGTTCACTCTAACATCTTTAATAATTATCAATAAAGACGAATGAAGACTATGCAAAAACAGGTACTTTCCCCTCAATAACTAGGAAGTCAGGATCATGTTGATCATTGTTTAGCTTCGCATAGAAACTTTTTAGAACAGTGAGAATCATATCTTCGGCTAGATTTTTATCGAAGCTGTCGATTTATGTGTGAGGTATTCCACAAAAATTGATCGAGATGTAACATTAGAAAGATTACAAAGGGTATGAAATATTCATCTCAATCTCAAGAATAATCCCCAGGTCAAAATCATCCGATATGATCCTACCGGATTATGTCGGAAATTACTCGCATCCTGTGCTAAGGAGTCCGCCAGTCGAATCAGTCATCATGAATCTCCATGAAAAAATTCGAGTACTATCCACTTAGAAATGGTAGTTAAGATCATCGATATTGATCCATTATAGATTATGAGAAAGCTTCTAAGAATTATGTCAAGACTTTGTAGTTAGATCAATGTAACTGCAGTCTCAAAAGAGACGAAGAAAGTAACATATTTTCTTCATCGACTCTACAACGAATTAAAATAATGAAAGTTTATGCATCAGAATTTTTTGTTTCATTTCATTTTCATTATAACAATATCTTACGAGTGATCACCTATATATCTAAAGCAAAAAAAAGTGAAGACAATCGTTCAGTTTTGCTGGGAAAAAACGAAGAGTTTTCAAAAGTGAGGGAGCCATCTTTTCTTCTCGTTCGGAACACCCTTGATAATTGATCAGTGCGTTATCTTATGATTTATTGTATGAAACTAAATTGTCAAAATGATTCTGTTGAAATACTATAAGAAGAGAAGATTTCTTCAAGTATTTGGCCTTTACTAAAGTACATTTAAGTTCACGAAGAATTTTATTTGTGATTATACTTAAATACGAACGATAATAACTTAATAATTCACAAAAAATATTGTAATTTTACTTTTTCTATGTTGATTATTGTATAAGAGTGACCTCTCGTCTTCGTTTGATGATTTTTCGCTCCAAATTCTATTGGCAAATCATGTCATTTCATTGTCTCGACAAAAGAGAAAGACAAAATCGAAGAAGAATATTTCTTTTGTTTGTATACTAAACGGTCTACTTAGATATTGATTTTCTTGTGTTTTTCTTTGTAGAAATTCATCAAGTTCTTTATCGACATAATGAATCAAGAAAATAAACCACCATCGAACGATTTTGATCAAGAAAGATTATCGTTTGTGACATTTCGAAAAAAAGTTTGTTTTATTGATTTGTTTTTATTTTTTCATAAATCTTCTCATTGTTTATCTTAAACAGTTGGAAAATACTGATGACGATCAATCATCAATTACACCTAAACGTCCATTACTTTCTCGAGATCGTGATGCAGGTGTATTTATTGAAGTTTCTCCTTTATCTGATCGTAATTCTCGTCCAACACAAACAAAACGAAAATCTTTACCAGTATCACCATTGACAACAGTTAAAAATGATAACTCACCAGTATCAATCGTTGAAAATTGCATGTTTATTATTAGTCCTCCTCAACAAAATCGAACAACAATTATTGATGATGATGAAGATAATTCATATGTACCAGCATATATTCATAGAAAAGCTAAACCAGCACCATCAACGACTCGGAAACCATCGTTTCCAATTCATAAACCATCGAAAACAACTTGTGAAACGTTAGCATCTGCTCCAGTTGTTTCACCAAGTCAGTTTCTTATTAATTTTAAAAATAGAAAAGTGATATTATAATAATTTTTTTGAATTCTAGCTCCAGCAGTTTCATTTCAACCAGCTATTCGACCACGTGTACCATTCAATTTAACATCAACAAATACAATTGATAAACAAGCTCATGCTTATACCATATGGTTCAATAGTCTTTTTACACCAGTTGAATTTATGAGTAATCCAACAACAACTAATCAATCGATATCAAATGAAATGTTAACTACAAAAACATTAAAATCATTAGCTGAATCGAATCGTTGGTATATATTACGTGATCGTGCTCGCGAATTATTTACACGTGATATACAATCAATAGCTACAAAAATTAGTGCTGATATTGATATTGATCATTGTCGAATAAATCCTAAAGTTGATTTAAATTTTTCAGCACGAACAGTTAGTCGACAATCATTATTAGATTTTATAGCATCATACAATCGTATATGGTTTCGTCTTGCAATGGAAGTATTATTTCCAATAAATATTGAAAATTATCAACAAATGAAATTATCTATTGAACAATATCTTATACAATCGAATATTAATACATCATCACCATCAAATGATATTAACTTGAAAAAATCGAATCTTAATAATACTAAAATAGCATCACCACAAATACGTTTAACTATTAAAAATTTAATATTAATCATTATATTTCTTGAACGTGCTAAATTATTACGTTTAATTGATAATGATCCATGTTTATATGTACGTGAATCAAAATTTAAATCAACAAAAGAATCTATTGATATTTTATCACGAGATTTTATTAGTTCAGATACAAATCTTATACGTCGTCTTAAATTAGCTGGTTTTGAACCAATTTATCGACAAACATCATTGGATGAATATAATTATTTAATAACAAATAATGATAATAAGTTATTTGATGATTTAAAAGATGGTATACGTTTAACACGTTGTGCACAAATATTACTATCATCAACAAATGAACAAGTTGCAAGATTTGATTTATCAACTAAATTAAAATGTCCTGTTGTTAATCTTGTTCATAAATTACTTAATATTGATCAAGCATTTGAATTACTTCAAACATATGGACATATCAATTTAATTGGAATGTAAGTTAATAGAAAATTAACATCATCATCATCATCAATTTGTTTAGTATAATGAATATGATTAAAATATATGAATAGAAGTTTAAATATAGAAACGTAAAATTGTTATGCATTCATCGAAATTAAATATTTTCAATTGATGAAAAGTTTTAAATATGGATTTAACTAGGATATATGTAGACATATACCAAGACTGATGAGACTAAGTTGAGCTGTTCATAATACAAGTCCCATAGAGTCTTGGTACATACAAATATACACACACTAAGTTAAATTTACATTGAAAATATTTTACCACTTGAAAAATATCTAGTTTCACTTAGTATATAACAATTTACGTTTCGTCATTAAAAAATCAACTTCGACATCTTTGTCGTATATTAATAGATTTGTTTATAAGGGATTTTCAGCTAAAAGTCAGGCTTTGTGACCTTTTCTCTACTACAGCCAGTTTCTGCTAATGATATCTTGACGCTTAGTTTCCAAACTTTTTCGGAAGGTGTTATTTGCTAGAAGATGAAGCGTCATAGAATTCGGAGAAGTTTCTGTTTTGAAAATCTGGATCAAAACCAATTTAACTTGAAAGTTTCTTGAAAAGCGACAAAAAATCGTAATCACTGTCTGGCTTTTGTTGATTCTCTCGTACCCAGTTTCCTTGATGTTTTTTATGGAAGACCTCTGATAAAATTTTGATAACAAGGTTATCGATTCTGTTGGAAGACAATCATTTTCAAAGTTCCTTGAAATTTAAACTTTGCTCTTGATTTTTCAAGACAATTCTACAACCAAGGGTTAAGTGAGAGTGAGAAATACCAAACACTGTGCTGATTAAGGATAACATGTATTGATTGATTCGAGCGTTAACTTTTCGAGATGAATTTTTAACTGATTAATTTTTATTAATTTATGTCTGCTTTGAAACAAATGATGAATGGTGAAAATTTCAGCTTAGTTCAAAACTGCACTCATTAATCCTCATAAAAAAAGCGTTAGTACTATGACTACTTGATACTCTACTGTACTACAGCAGGAGAGTATATAACAGTTATGAAGAGAAACATGGATTAGTTAAAAGTGAATCATAGAAAAATCTCTTGGTAGTCCAATTGAATTCCTTGCTTTTTACATTGACACTTATGACTTGTATATAATAATTATCTCAAACAACCACACCACTTCTAATAAGATCAAAACAGATTGCTGGACATTACGCCATCTCGCTTAGCACAGCGAAGTGCATCAACTTTTATAGAGGATTACTTGTATTTAGAGAAATTACTGAATAGGATTTGATTACGGTCTAAAATTCATGTAATCCCAAACGATTCTTTGTCAAATAAATTTTGTGCTTTTGATTTAGTTCAAATAAAGACATTATGAATGGTAATAAACAACGTACACTTGAATTACTCTGGCGTATATTTACCGTTTGTTATTTACCTAAACATTTATCGCCTATTGAAAAATTACATGATGAAATTTCAATTCTAACTGAAAATCTATCTAAATATAATTGTCGATCGATTGAACAACAACTTTTAACAACAGATATAATTCTATTACAAAAGCAACAAATAGAATATACGCCATTAATACATTTATTAATTAAATGGGCACAACTTATATGTGCACATTATAAATTTTGGTTATATGATTTACAAGAATCATTTATTGATGGTCGTGCATTTCTTTATATAATTTCATATTATTTACCATCATTATGTGATTATTCACGGGATATAAAACATTTAACAACATTAGCAACATGTCAAACACGTGATGAACATATTCAATTTAATCTAGAACTTAGTCAACAACAGCAACAATTAATAAACACATATGAACGAAATGTTAAATCAAATTTTCGTTTATTAGAAGAATGTATTAAACAATTTGGTACATTTTCAAATGAACTTATTAAATATGAATATTATAGTAAAGATATACCTGATGAACGTCATACAATCATTGTATTATCAATGCTTGCACATGATTTAATTTTTTCAAATAATATTCAAAATGATAATGATTTTCGTCATCAATTAATATTTGAAGAATTAAAAATAAAATATTCAAAAGATGATGAACCTCTTATTGAAATAAAAAAAGAAGAAATTAATAAACAACAAATTGATATCATACAAGA